TGCCTGTCCTGGAACTCGCTCTGTAGCCCAGGCTGGCCTCGAACTCACAGAGATCCACCTGCCTCTGCCTCCCAAGTGCTGGGATTAAAGGCGTGCGTTCGGCTGCTAAAGGAAGTTTTAAGTAGAGGAATGACCTCAAGTAAGTTTCTACAGGATGACAGGCTGCTGTGTGGAATGTGGACAGCAGGGTTGGGGGGGAAGCAGGCAAAACATTTGCAAAGCTTAGAGGATGGTGGCTTGGACTAGGCATTGGCATTGAAGGGAAAGCCTTCGAATCTTATGCTTGCTGTAGGAATGGGCGTTGATTTATTTGTGTGTGTGTGTGTGTGTGTGTGTGTGTGTGTGTGTGGGTGTGTGTGTGGGTGTGTGGGTGGTGGGGGGGGGTTGGTGTGCTGTAGTGCAAATGGAGGTCAGAGGGAACTTAGGCTCCCCTTTCTGTTTCCACCATGACTTTTGTTCTAGTTGGGTTGTTTATGTCCTTCACTTTTGAATTTTGAGAGTTTTTATTTTAGGAACACATACTTTGTTGGATATGGGACTTGCAAATAGTTGTCTTTTTGTCTTGCAGGGCTCTTCTCAGAGCAAAAATTTTGTCTTTTGAAGAATAGCTGTTACCAGTTTTTTCCCTTTTATATGTTTACTTTTTGGGTAAAATTTAAGAACTCTTTTTCCCAGCTCCATATTTCAAAGATTTTTCTCCTTTGTCTTTTTCTAGTTTTATCCTTTAATATTTTATATTTTACATGACTTATGTTTAGTTCATTTTTGTGTAAGATGTGAAAACTAGGTTCATCTGGCTTGGTAGTGTGTGGACTCCACTGATGGACTGTAAACATCACGTCCGCCTTGCAGCCTGGAATAAACAGCCACTTCCCCACATCCTCTTCCTCAGGTCTGTCTGGGTGGGGGTTGAACGCAGGGCCTTGCCTCACACAGCCAAGTCCATTCTTACTTTCTGTTGCTGGCGTAGAGAAGCTGAGAAGACTCGGAAGGAGGCAGGGCTTACTGCCCGTTATTTCAGGGGTTCCGTCTGTGGCTGCCTGGTGCATCGTTGTTGCCCTCCCTTCGCTGAGGTGGGCATCACAGAGGAGGAGTGTGTGGCAAAGGAGGCGGCTTACCTGTGGGGTGGAGTGAGCAGAGTTCTGGTGGTTTGTGGAAGTTCTCTTCTGATGATCGTTTTTTCTGAGAGAAGTCAGGCAGTGAGGTCACCAGTGCTTTGAGAAGAAAGGGGGTGGGTACCAGAGAAGGTGTTGGAAATTTGAGGATGCTTCAGGAAGTAGGGAGGAAACGGACAGTATAGCCACACGGGATTTCGGATGAAAGGAAAACAGTTTGTCTGTTTCCAGCTGTGGAAATAGAGGGTTTGATGTAGCCCTTGCAGATGAGTGAGACAGTGTGTGAGCGGGAAGGCAACTGGACACGGGTACAAGAGGGATTAGAGTTCTTGGCTGCAGCATTGAACATTGATAAAGAGAAGAGAATTCTTCAGCAAGATTTGGTAGAGGCCACCGGGGGCTGACAAAGTGAGGATGGGTGTGAGTCTTAATGGATTGAGAAGACCAGCAAATGAGTCCGAAAGCTAGGCGAGCATTCCAGGAAGCAGCATGCTGCAGATGGGTGCAGGGGGCGAGGGGGGGGGAGGGGGAAGAAGGGATAAGGGTGGAGGTTGGGCTGACTCAGCAGAAGAGAGGTCATGGATTTTGAAATTCAGATAGGAGCTCTTCTCTGAGTGAGAACCCTGCAGTTAGGAGCGAAAGTCTTAGAATGTGGGGGCCTTCTAGGAGTTGGTGATAGGGGAGATGTGTGCCCCCAAGCCAGACACTTCTGGAGAAGAATGGGAAAATAGTGTGTGGTGGAGGTCTGCACCCCTCTCTGGTCTGTGCAGGGGTGTGGGAGAGAAACCAGCTGTGGAGCGGAACCAGCTGTGGAGAGAAACCAGCTGTGGAGCGGAACCAGCTGTGGAGCGAAGGGCTGCAGAGCCAGCGTGTTTAGAAGGGAATCAGGTTTCCGGTTCATCAACAGAGAAGCTTGAGGAGAGATCTGGAGGGCCCATTGGAGGGTTTCTGTCCTGCCCCTCCCGGCTCAGGTCCTTTAGAGACTCTCCAAAAAGTTTCACAGAGGAAGACTGATTGGTTTGGTTTGGAGACAGGGTCTCATAGCCCAGGGTGCCCTCTAGCTGGTAGACTAAGGGGGTGGCCTTGAACTTTGGAGCCTCCGCCTCCACTGCCCCTTTGCCCGCATCGTACGTGTGTGTTGCTATTCCTGGGCTCTAATTTACTATCTTTTAATATTTATTTATTTTTCTGGTGCTAGGGATCAAACTTAGTGCCCCATATACTAGGCTACATCCTAATTCTACTATCTTTTTAAGCGATTTTTTTTTTGGGGGGGGGGGTTAGGACATATTTTTCTAGGAGTCTTCTGTCCTCTTAAGACGCTGCTCCCTTCTCTATGTACAAAGTAGATGTCAGCTGTGCTGCTGAAATGAGACAGTATTTATACGGACAGTTGTTTTCTGTCCATGGGCGTGTTCGTGAAGGCCTGTGGCTTGTTTATATAGACTGAAGGTTTAGATCACACATAACAGGGTGTGCCTGTTTGAAGAGCGATAGGTGGCCCCCGAGTTCTTCAGGAGAGGCTACATTTGGGTACAGATTGGAGCACTGTTCAGCTTCTTCAACAGCTTTCCTCTAGACTGTACTTCAGTGGGCCTTTGTACTGTGTGGAGTTACTTCTGTGAAAGTCCTAGCTGCACCTCAGCAGACCTTCCTGAGGAAGTAGAGGCCCAGGCTGGGAGGTTGTGCAAGCATTTGGCTTCATTTCCATTCGGAGACTGCCTTCCCAGTCTTTAAAACAGGCCGTTGTCACTTAGCTTGCAAGTTCGAGTTTCTGGTTCCTGTCCCTTAGAATTTTGGTGTTTTGTAATTTTTTATTTTCGAAGAGTCTACAGCTTGTTTGTAGCTTCCTGTACTGGTTATACGCTTGAAACAAGAATTTTTAGAGGAAGAGCCTGGGCTCTGGCAGCCCCAGTGAGCTAGGCTCTGCCACCTCTCCCCAATGTGCAAATTAGAGTCAAGGAATGGTGAAGAGCAGGGAATTAATGCGGCCACACTGAGGAGAGAGAGAGACTGGGAAAGGGGTTCAGTGACCCCTAAGTCCTGTTTTTAGGATCCTGACATGAACTTTGAAGGTTATGCGAGGCGCAGGGAGGGGCAGATTGTGAGTAACTGAGCATCTTGGGCAGGGGATAGTCTGGGATCCTCGTCTCTGCTTTGGCTCTGCAGGGTGGTCGGAAGTTCCTATTGCTTGAGGGATTGTGGTGGGTCTTGGGGGATGATACACTTCTGTTTCAGGATGCGTCGTTTCCCTGGTGGGTCCCTGCTTTGTCCTTGGAGGGGCTGCTCTTCGTAGATCAGGGGCCTGCAGGGTTAGAGCAGCGGCTTATTTCTCTGCTTGCAACCTTGAAGGGGGATGCCAGGCTCACAGACACGTCCCTGAGTGCTTGCCCTACCAACCTGCAGAGGGAAGCAGGACACAGAAAAGGGAAGGCTTTTAACCAGAGCTCTAGTCGAGGGGTCAGTGTTTTTTAGCAAAGGCAGTTTCTAAGTACTTGTTCTATAGTGTACTTAGTTCCAGATTTTGTGTGTGTGGCAATTGATTTTTGTGACCCACTTGACCCAGGATTAGCCTCCTCCCTTTCTGCTATGGGGATGAGGTGGAGCCTGGACAAGGCTGACTGGAGTCCAGTCTTTGGTAAAGGGAAACAGTAGGGCTGGGCTGGGGTCCTGCTGACTTCGCCTGACCTGAAATCAGATGCTTACTTGCTCTTTGGGTAGCAGGCTGTGCCGCCGCCGCAGTGGGTCCCTTACTGGTTCAAGGTGTTACTGAGCAAAGCGATTGTTATCTGAGATTAATTGCCCAAGAAGAAATGTAATTGAATGCTGGTCATTGAGACTTACCAGATCTTAAGGGAAAGCGGCAGGAATTTGTTATACTCAGGAGAAATGCTTACTGAAAAATTGATAAATACTGTTTTCTCTTGGTGAAGAAAAGGTTGGCAATGTCGGGGTGCTTTTGTTTTTCAGATACTCCAGAGGACACTCCACACGACCCCACTGTTTCTCCTCCAGCTGTGCTGACAGCTGGAAACAACACCGAACCTTCTATTTCCCAGATCAGCACCACTGTTCCTCCCCCAGCCAGCACAGAGAAAAATGGAGGCACCTCTGTGGCACCCACCCCCTCTGCTTCCCCTTCTGTGTCCCAGGACGAGGCTGATAACAATGAAGATCCCAGCATGGAGGAGGAGGATCTTCTGGCCCTCAACAGTTCCCCGTCCACAGTCAAAGACACTCTGGACAATAGTGACTACGGAGAGCCTGACTATGACTGGACCACCAACCCCCGGGACGAGGAGCCTGATGATAATCTAAACCTCGAGCTGAGCAAAGCCGACAGGCGCTTCCAGCTGTTCGAGGACTCGGTGAAGGTGGTGAAACTCCCGCCCCCAAACCGAGAGGACAGCCATTTCTTCTTTCACCTCCTCATCTTTGCTTTCTGTGCAGCTGTTGTGTACGTTGCGTATCACAACAAAAGGAAGGTGAGTTGTAAGGCGTCAGGTCTCAGGCATACCCGAGTAGAGTCTTTCAGTCAGGCTGGAAGCGGTGATAAACTGTTACCGTTCCTAAGAAAGTTAGGAGCCTGGTACACTAGACAAATTAGGAATAATGCTACATGTGCTTCTAGGAAATGGCTTGATTTTTTTTCCCCCCATAATGAATGAAACCAAAGTCTAGCAAGTTATTTATTTTTCAGACAGGATCTTACTATATAGCCCTGGCTGTCAGGAACTCACTATGTAGATCAGGCTGGCTTTGAACTCGTGGAGATCCACCTGTCTCTGTCCACTAAGTGCTGGAGTCAAAGGCGTGTGCCATTATACCTGTCTTGCATTTGCAAGAATATTAACTTAATACTCCCTTTAATTTATTATGTATTGACTTGGAGATTTTACAGTACCATTATTTTCTGGATGTACAAGGATTGGGCTGGGGTTGTGGCTCCACTCATAGAGTACTTTCTAGCATATATGATGTCCTGGGCTCATACCCAGCACCACATAAACTTGCACATGGTAACACACTTCTGTAACTCCAGGGGAATTCAGGGGGTCTGAGATTCAAGGTTATTCATTGTCATCTTTGATTGAATATTGAGGGTCAGGATAGCTTGGGATATATATTTAAGACCCTGCCTCAAAAAAGAAAAAAGAAAAAGGGAGGAGGGACAGAAGGTCTTTATGTATAGCTGGTGTGGTGATACATGCTTGTAGTCTAGGCATCTGGATACTTGGGAGGTAGAGACAGGTGGATCACTAGTCTTCAAGGCTAAACTAGACTGTATGAAACCGTGTCTCAAAAGTAAACATCTGGGGATTGGAGAGATGGCTCAGTGATTAAGAGCACTGGCTGCTTTTGCAGAGGACTGGGTTTCAAGTGCCCAACGCAGCACCCACAAGGTAGTTCATAACCTATAACTCCAGCTCCAAGGGATCTGGCAATAAGTAAGTAAGTGAGATAAATAAATAAATGGATCTGGCTGTAAACAAACTCCCAGAACAATACATTTAATGTAGAGAATTCAGAAATCTAAAGACTTTAGGGGGAAAAAATTTAAGCTGCTACTCAGAGCATTCAAGTAAATTTTAGTGTATTTCCGGTCCACAAATATACACGCATGATGTAATTTCTTTTTTCTTTCTTGAGACAGGGTTTCTCTGTGTAGTCCTGGCTGTCCTGGAACTCACTCTGTAGACCAGGCTGGACTTGAACTCACAGATCCGCCTGCCTCTGCCTCCCGAGTGCTGGGATTAAAGGTGTGCCACTGCCTGGCTTGTGTATGTTTTCAGAGCTGTTTATTGGATAACCAGTTGGTATGTTCTTTACAGCTCTTAACATCTCTTAGTTGCCTATATTTCTTTGTGTAGAGCTGAGGTTTCATGAGCTTTCTGCCGTCCACTTTGGCACCATAACATATTATTTAAAAATATGGTTTAATATTTGCATAATTGATTGTGCTCTGTTCCTATTGGACAGTTAGATGATTCCAAGTTTTGGTTCAGAGGTAGCACCATGATGACTATTTCTGTTAGAATTGCTTTCCTGGGTTAAAGGAGTAACCTAATAACCTAGGCATAAGCTAACGGGGCGGTGGGGCTGGGATGGGGTGTCACTTAATGTTACTAAGTCGTCGAGCCTTTCAGAATCTAAAGGAACTCAAGCCCAGCTTCCTCAATGTGTGGTGCTCTTGGGAGCTTGGTTCTTGTGACTCCAGCTGTCTGTCTTCCTCTTCCTAATTTTCTTACCTGAGAAATGACAAAATGGACCAGTTGATTTCAGAATGTCTTCCAGCTCTGAGTGTCGGTGACCCAGTGACAGAAAGCAGCAGACAGACCACTGGAGTCCCCCTTGTTAACTGACCTGAGCTGAGTGTGCTAATACTGTGGGGCAAGTAGACTCCTGGTCTCCGCCCCCACCCACTGTCCTTTATTACTGTGATAAGCTTCTGTGTCCCCAAGCCTAAACAAGATCCTGCACTCTACATAAATGTTACCAGATACGTTTTCTCTTCGGTGTGTCTAATTGCTTTGTTTTATTTCAGATTTTCCTCCTAGTTCAAAGCAGGAAGTGGCGTGATGGCCTGTGTTCCAAAACAGTGGAGTACCATCGTCTGGACCAGAATGTGAATGAGGCCATGCCTTCCCTGAAGATCACCAATGATTATATTTTCTAAAGCACTGTGACTGGGGTTTGCTTCTTCTGTCATTTTATTTGCTTGACTTTTATATGATGTCATGCAGAATTCTGCCACAGGCAAGTGGTACTTAACTAAGAGGGGGCACTCTCTCTGGCCTTGGTGCTTTGGGAACTAAATGTCACAAATAAGGAGTATCTAATTTTTTAATCTGTTCTTTAGAGCTAGATGCAATCAGGTCTGGGAACTGTGAGTTGAACGTTACTGTATATTTTTGTGTAGGTGTTATTATTTCCCTTCATCGTGCCTCGGCAGCAGTGGCCTCCTCTTTGAAAGACCCCAGACAGAGCTGCAGTCTCCCAGGGCCAGCACTGCTCCTTTCCTCATGCGCTGCCATCCAAATGCCGGTTTCCTCTTTCCTTGATTCTGTTGCTAATTTTTGAGATAGGGTCTCACTAAATAGCCTAGGCTGGCCTTGAACAGTTGGTCCTCTTGCTTTGGACTCTCAAGTGCTGGTACTACAGGGGTGGCCGCCCACCCACTTGCAGATAGCATATTTTCAAACACATTTCTTTGCGTGTGTGGTACCAAACTTCAATGTACAAGGATATTGTGATTATAATGCTTTGCTTTAAAGTAACACGTTTTCCTCTCTCTCAAAACTGCATTGAAAGATGGATGGTAGGGGGGCTCAGTCAGTGAGGGCGCTTGCTGCCAAGCCTGAGAGCCTGAGTTCAGTCCCCAGGACCTGAGTGGCAGAGGGGAAGAGCGGATTCTTGCAGGTTGTCTTCTGACCTCCACATGTGTGCCACGGCGTTTGTGCACCTACACACACGCTTATACACACATAGTAAATAAATGTAATTATTTAAAAAAATGCTTTGGATGTTTTTAGGCACTTAAAACAGTGTAAGATAATGTGGCTGCTGCTTTACCAATCACACATTAAACTTGTTTAGAAATTCTTGCAAAATAGACTGCAATTCCCAGTGAACACAGCTGAAATGTTAGCTAATATCAGTTTTGGGTTTGGATTACTGAATGAAGTTTAGGGTGGAACTTGGTAGAATATTTAACCCATAAACAATGGTTGCTTTTAGTCAGCACTTGATTTTAGCAAGTTCCAAGGGTTCAGGTGATGAGCAGAATTTAAAAACTTAGATCAGAGTTTTTCAGTTTGTTTCTTGCTGCACAGTAAATTGAAGAGACTTTAGAGGCCATTATCACTTAAATGATGCTGTGTCTCAATCCTGCAGTTAAAGTGATAATCTGAATGAAGTTTACACACAGATCTGTGCAATAGTGACATTCAGACTCCTGCCACGTTTTATTATGTTGCCCTGCCCCCAGCAACTGGAATTATTTACTGTATTTCACGTTAGCCTGTTTTTTAGAGTTGATCAGGATGTAAATGTGTGATTTGAACCATGGTTGACTACCAAGCTTCGTTACAACTCTCCCAAAAGCGCAGCCTTTGCTGTGTGCTCAGTAAAGCCCAGGTGAGCCAGCAGCCACTGAGTGGCAGGGCTGTCCTCCCTTCAGGGACAGTCGACTGTCCGAAGGATGCGCAGCTTCGTCACATAGACCTGGACTGTTTTACCGCAGTAGTTTTTTTCATATCTGAAATTGTATTATTTAATATTTTGAATAAGATTTTAAGAAATAAATGGTAAAGATATCAATCTGTGCTTTCATCAGTGTGTTTATTACAGGGCTGACCTGGTGGTTGCAGGAGGCCTGTGCTGAGAACAAGTGTGCCCCAGCCAGTTGGGAGGTCTGCTCAGCCAAGGAGCTCTGCCTCCAGGATGCCACTTAGATTCTGAACTCTTCCTTAGGTTTGTCACTGGCTGCTCACGTCTGCTAACACTAGCAAACTAGGATGGCAGAGAAAGGCTCACAGGTGACCGCTTCCCAGGCCTGGGCTCCCTGCTGCCCTGTGAGGCTGTCCAGACCAGGAGAGTCAGCCCTGGTGGTGTTGTTCGCTGCCGAGGGTGCCGCCTTCAGTAGCTTCTGCCTTCAGGAGTACCAGGTCATGCGCAGGCTGGAAATGCTGCTGGGGTCTGACAGGCCCCTGAGCTGCTGGGTGAGGGACCCGTGATCCACATTTGACCCTCAGCACTCATGGAGCCAACTGGATGTGATCTGCTTGCTTCCAGACTGGCCACCTGGAACCTCTGCCCAGGGTTGGCACGACATGGCTCCTCTCTGTGTTCGCTGAAAAGGCATGTGTTAAAACTTGTCAGCATTTGTGTCTGTGGGCAGGCCTGTCTTGGTCTGTCTGTCTGTCTTTCAGTTTTTGAGACAGGGTCTTGTCATGTGTCACCATGCCTGGCTTGGCTGGGGTTCCTTTGGGGTGAGGGTTCTCATGTGAATTGTCCCTCAGACTGAGCTTGAACAGGAAGTGGTTGTTGCTTCTCCCTCCCCTAGCCTGGCAGTTCCCACACTCCTTTAAGCTTTAAGATGAAGTGTCTAAGGAATTAGAAGCAAGGCAGCCCCTGGCTCCTCCCAGGATTATGTAGTTGGCATCTCTGCCCCAGCTGCTCGCACCCAGGACACACCCACCTTCAGGGTAGGTGGGAACCAGCCTGCAGAGTGACAGCTGTCACACTCCTATGGGAAGATAAAGCACACACTGATGGTGAGGTCTCGGGGTATTTGGATATGTGTGTGTATGTGCGTGCATGCGTGCGTCTGTTGAGGCTGCACCTCTCAGCCTGGTTTGATGCTACAGCAGCTTGTACCCACTCTCCAATCCCCATGAAGCAGTTGAGATTTGTGTAGCCTGACTGGGCAGAGTCCCTGCCAGATCCACAGTATAGCAGTCTTTAACTCATTGGGATCTATTCGCTTGTGTCTTAACTTTCACTTAGGAGGGGGCGTTGTCCAGACAGGTTGGAATTGGAGTGGGGGCCTTCGACATGCCTCTGTGCTGGTAACCTGCTGTCTGTGTGCTGAGGTCTGATTGGGGGCAAGCAGAGTTTCTACCTGCAGAGCCTATGCCTAGTGCTCCTCCAGCCCTTTAAGAGGCCGGGCACGTTTGCTACCTGCTCACGAATGGCCTCTGTTGCCCTGATACTTCTGTAGTGAAACCTAGTAGAGAACTCCAGACACGTTATGTTCTGGTAGTTGACATCCTGACACCCTTCTCACGGGGCTTTTTGTGCCACTTCCTGGTGCATAGCACTGACACCCGAGACTCCCCAGATGGGTAGCACCCTTGGGTGGGAGCTCCAGTGTGCCTTGGAGTCACAGGCCTGTATTGGATTCCCCCACCGGATCTGGCCTCCAGGCTGAGTCTCTCATTTGCAGTCGTAGGGAGAAGTCAGTACATTCATGTCTGTTTCTTGGGAGGAAGAGAGGTATCTCAAGGGCTGGCTTAAATGTCCCATCCTTGTGGGAGCCAAGATAATCCTGGTCCACACTGTTCCACCTTTCCTGGAGCTGAGGTAGTCCTGCTCCATGCTCCTCTTAGCTCATCTGCTGGGAATTCAGACTGAAGAAGGCACGGAGGGAAAGGAGTGTGGGTTGAAGCCAGTGCTGGGCGACCTTGAGCTGAGTTCTGTCTCTCAGCCTGTACTTAGTGAGATAGGTAATTGATTAGTTCATAGAGTTGTTGGGAAAAGTAAATGGGTTCATTGTTCCAAAAAGACATTGTAGGTGGAGAAATGACTTACCATGTCATTAGCCATAGAAGGGACACACAAGCCTTGGACCCACCAGAGAGGGAATTCTCTAGCAAACTGTACAGGAGTGGTCTGTAGTCCTGGAGCTACCTCCCAGGTACACAGCTGGTCAGGGTTAGGTGTGTGCTGTGCCGAGCCTTCCAGGTATGTGTGGCCTTGCTAGGTGGTAGGTGGTGGCTTTTCTAGAGCTTTCCAATCTCATTCTTTTTTTTTTTTTTTGGTTTTTCGAGACAGGGTTTCTCTGTGTAGCTTTGTGCCTTTCCTGGAACTCACTTGGTAGCCCAGGCTGGCCTCG